TCTCACTCTTGCTCAGGCTGGTCTCCACCTGAGAGGTCAGGCAGTCCACCAGCCTCATCCTCCCAGAGTGCTAGGATTATAGGCATGAGCCAGTGTGCCCACCCTCAATGTGTATTATTAAGAGATTAAGGCAAGAATGACAATTGTGATAGAGCAGTTTTTCTTGAGAGCTGGAGTAGATGTGCTTTAGGAATCGGTCTAGGGGTTGGGTGCAGTGGCTCATGCCTGTAATCCCAGCACTATGGGAGGCCTAGGCAGGTGGATTGCCTGAATTCAGTTCAAGACCAGCCTGAGCAAAGCAAGACCCTGTCTCTACAAATAGAAAAACTAGTAGGGTAGAAAAACTACTAATAGAAAACTAGTAGCCCTTGCTGAGGCAAGAGAATTGCTTGAGCCCAAGAGTTTGCTGTGAGCTATGATGCCATGACACTCTATTGGGGGTGGGGTGGGGGGGCAAGAAAGTGAGATTCTGTCTGGAAAAAAAAAGAATTAGTCTAGGCAAATAGAGAAGAAATATTTTATGAAACAAGTATGATGAAAGGATGTTGAAGATTCACTGGGATGGATTTAAGGTGCAGTGGGCAGAGTTGGAGGGTGGAAGGATTCTAAACTTCATTGGACTCTAAACATAGTTCTGCATGGGTTAAAGGGAAGCTGGGCATGATCATGTTAAGATCTGGGTGAAGAAATTTTTAGCTGACACATAAAAAACAGATTTGTTAATAAGAAAGGTTCTGTGTCTCTATAGAGCTAATATACTGGAGAATGTTTTACATTGTTCATTCTTATATGGCAGCAGTCTACCCATTTTTAGGTGCCATTGAAAGAAATAAATTTAATACATGGAATTTCGCTTTCTTTAAAAATGTAAGCATACCTGTAACCCTAGGACTTGCTGAGGCAGGAGGATCACTTGAACTCCCTCTGGAGTTTGAGACCAGCCTGTGCAACAGCAAAAAAAAAAAAAAGTAATTGCTCTTTGAAGGTGGCTAGATGTAACAACCTTCTGAAGACTCTTTTTGTATAAGTATCATTTAATTTTGGCTATCTTTGTGGAATTGTGTATGTAGTCTTGCAGGCTTTACCAGAAATAGAATATATCAGTATCAAAGAAAGGTCAAAATGCATTAAAGATTCATTATAAGAGATTTTCGAGAAATGCTTTTAATTTCTCCCTATCTATACATAGCCACTTTGTAAATTAGGAAGCTGAATTCCAGAAAGGTCATGACTTTTCGTGGCCATAAATAGTAAAACTTTTTCTCGCTTTCATGTGCTCAATACTTTTTGAGACTTTTTCTTTTTAAAGAAATGGAAGGCCCCAAATCCAGAAATTGCTTACCTGTAAGTAGGGTACGCTGCTGTGAAGAATAAAAATGCACAGTTTTTCCTTCTTGTAATCGTGTTTCTTCTGAATGTGTATCCCGTCTCCCCTTTTTATCCTCCTTATACACAGGCTGCACGTGACTTGTAAACACAAACTTTATATAACAGTTTTCAAAGTCATTTCCTACAGCTACCCAAACTACCATGTTTGGTGGTTCCCCTGTAATGTATCCCACTGCTGTCATCTCTTACTTACTGAACTGTTAATCTCCCTGTTCTTGGGGAAAGCTTTGGGAGATGGGTGAGATGTCAGTTTGTGAAGAGTATACGAATTAGGTTGTTACTATATACAGTAAAAAGTAAGTAGTGCGGTGTTTTGGTGTTTTTCTCTAATACCTTCCCTTTCTGGTTGATTTCTATCAATTGGATTTTGGCTGTCTTCATTCTGAGTCACTTTAAATTAGAATTATGGTAAGGAAGTAACTGATCTGTAAATATAATTAATTGAAACACCATCCTCTGAATAACATCTTCATTTTGTTTTACCATTCCCTATGGGAGCTGCCTTTCCTGCTTAAAAAAGGTGTACTCGGCTCGGCGCCTGTGGCTCAAGCGGCTAAGGTGCCAGCCACATACACCTGAGCTGGCGGGTTCGAATCC